GCATTTGGCTAGCGTGGTGGACTATGGCCTGATCCCCCTCGTATTGAAGGGAGGCCCGTGCCCAGCAGTGGGACGGTAAAGGCTGAATACATACATACATCAGAATTTTCTTATTAACCAATAACGTGATACGAATTGATATTTTTCATTATAATATCGATGATTTTTTCAATATACAACAATATATTAAATTGTTATCCTAAAAATCCTGTTATTATAAAAACACAATACTATTTTTTCAGCTAAATACATACAATACCGAAACATAAATCAGTACATACTGACCTCATACCTTAAATCCCAATGGTAAGAAATCACATGCCGAATTGCCTAACACACTTGCCCCCACTTTAAAATGGAGTCATAAATAAAAGGTAGACGCACCTTATCGCGAAAGCCACAACAAATGAAAGAATACCCCTCACCCCCTACCCTCCTCCAACCCCTTACAGGGGTTGAATTGGCCATCTCTTTTCAACTTGAAACAGTAAAACTCTGTTTTACATTTATAAGTACAAGCCACATTCGCGATGCCAGAGCTCTACCTCGAACTCTACATTTCAATTGTAATAGAATATAGACTCTATGTTCATCGTTTTAAGTTGTTTTTTGTTTGCAAATGGGTGCTAAAGTGGTTTCTATGGCAACGGGGGGTCGCGTCGCGATTTTTGCCTCCTTCGATTGCGAAGGTTTTTCTGATCACTTGCAGTGGAAAGTGCTTGTTATATACTTGTAGGGTTGTCGCGCGGGAAAATTATGAGGGTTCACTAAATGTGTCCTGTGTGAATGTAATTTTCCAAGATGTGAAAAAAGTTCGTCTACGTTGAATTAAGTTTTTTTTTTAAATTATTGCTTTATATGTTATTTACGAATATTTCATAAATATTTTATTTCTTAAGTACTTAATTTAGAAATGGCCTAACGAATAAAACTTATAACTATAGATAATTTAACTTTTTTAACTTTTAATAAGTTATAACTTTTTAAAAACTATTTCCTTTTGAAACAAGATATTAATAAAATAAAAATATTTTAAATATATAAACAGTGTGATTTTTGGCTTAGCAAAGCTCTTTACTAAGCATAGTTAATTTCTCAAAAACACTTGATTAGTATAAATTTTTAAAATAATCATTAAAAATTGTGACGTTTCAGCCCTAACAATTCAGTTCGATAAACGATGTCAGTGCAAATAAATTGTACCGCCTCAAACGTTCCGACAGTTCGCGAGATACTGTCTCCCCTTGCTGAAAATACAGACATACTATTTTCTTATTCGCTTAATGATCTTTAGCATGTGATTCAATTCATTTGTTTACATACATTTAAAATAGTGTTGATAGTATATTATGTTTAAAAAACACAATTGTAGAAAGTAATTTTGATGTTATTTACTTACTTTATTGTATTTGGTTATAAATAGTTTTACTATCTTTTATATACAACTAGCTTGATTCCCCATACAAACTTTCATCCCCATTTTCACAACTAGGTTGATACAAACTTTTATCCCCATTTTCACCCCCTTAGGAAGATTTCCGGGATAAAAAGTATCTTATGTCCTTCCCAGGGCCTCAAAGTATCTTCTTACTATATTTCATCTAAATCGGTTTAGTAGATCCAGAGATTACCCCCTACAACGTCACAAACTCACAATTCACAAACTTCACCTCTTTATAATATTATTATAAATGAATATTTAATCTTTTTACTCTAAAATCTACATACTATTATAAAGCCGAGTGATCTGCTTATTACAGCTAAAGCTTGCAGGTTCAATATCTGTTGTTTGTTCTAAGTAATTCATTATTTTATCGGAGCATAATCTGTAAAATCGTATTACGATTTTTCAAGAGTTGAAGTAGTTAAGGTACTAGTTGCACAGTGGCAGTGCGCCTGGCTTATATCCGATCAAAAGTTCGAGTTCAAGCTTGAGTTTTCACACTACTACTAGATGAATCTTATATTCAATACTAGCATTGCCCGCGGCTCCGCCCGCGTTCAGATGACCAAAACTACTCTTACATTGCACTTTTTGTATTTTTTCTCAGAAATGAGACATTTTCCCGTGGTAAAAAGTAACCAGCTATCACCATACCAAATTTCATCAAAATTCCTCCAATGGTTTTTCCGTGATGCGGTAACATACAGACAGACAAAAATTCTAAAAACTATAGATTCGGCCTCTGTATCGATAATAATGTCTATTTAAATAAGATTTTCCAAAAAATATTTAATGTACAGATTCGGCTTAGTTACAATTTTATTATATGTATAGACTTTCTGTATTTTTGATGTTATGCTATACACTTTGCATGTAGAGATTGTGGGTATGGGAAGTAAAGAAAAGACAAAGATTATATTTTACTAACCGTTTATTTCAACCACATCACGTAGACTTTCCACGCTCAAGTACTTTATATATATATATATATATATATATATATATATATATATATATATATATATGTATGGTATATTTATAAATGTAGAGTCCACATTATCGTATTTACAAATAATTTGAAGCATCTGATGTAATAAAAGACCTCATGAAAAAACATAAATAACTTTTATCTATTGTAAAATTAGACTTATAATTAATTTAAATTTAATATGAATTTTATTTATTTAAGCAAACAAAAATTATTATAAATGATGTTAATAAAAAAATATTAGAATGCATTTTAACCGACTTTACATACGAGTACTGTTATTGAAAAATTGAGATCTTATATTTAGGGACTCTATGAAATTTTACCTTTATTATGTACATAAGGAATATTAGTAAGCTTTTCTAAGCAATTGTTTTTTAATTATCGTTATCTATTTTAGTTTTTGGCTTTGATTTTAAATTAATTTTGAAATACAATTATTAGCAAATAATGATGTTTAGTTTTTATAACAAGTTTTTACGAGAACATATCTGTTTTAAAGAAGTGAGTAGCGTTGGCATGTAAAATTATATGACTTGCTAAATGTTTAGGTACTATATAATAATATGAAAACTGTGTTTAGGTACTATATATAATAGCGTGATTTAAAAGTTTAAAAGGTTTTATGTTTTTAATTTGTATTTTTAAATTTTAGGTACCTATGAAGAAGCTTTTTAAGATATTTTTACTAAAAATACAAAAGCATGAAGTGAAAATAGAACTCTTATGCCCGATTTCACCAACGTCACCTAAATTTAAGGGATCCCCTAAGCATGGTTAGGGGACTGTTAGGGGACAGTTTCTGTTTCACCGATAGTTAGGGGTCACCTAAATATTAAAAGGCCCCCTAAATTTAGGTGCTCGAAATATGGGCTTAAAGACGATCGTAAAACGAAATTTAATTTAGGGGCTAGTTTAGGGGAGTTTTAAGCTAGGGATCCCATACGTAGGTGGTAGCTTATGGGATGTTGGTGAAGTCGGGCATTAGTTGGTCAAATATTGTATATATACATCTATAGATGATTTTTATATTTTAAGACATTTTCTCGTAAAACATGTACACAAATAAATATTAGATGTACTTCATTCTAAAAATTATAATAATATTACAGTTTAAAATTTATTATAAAGTATCTTGTATCAGATTCTAATCCACATGTTATGAAAAGTTTAGAGGTTTTAGTCTAAACGGCATATATACAGCTGTGCTGTTTGTGTACCGTCAGCATCAAAATTAAAATTATTGAATGCATAAATATTTTCATTTATACTATAGTAAAAATGAGGATTTTGAAAAAAAGTTTGCTGCTGTCGGTACTACTTTCGCGTGGTCATCACTACAATAGGTAAATTCGTTTAAATATCTTTATACATCTTATTACACATATCATACAGTACATATTGCAATGCGTTTCCTCATTAGTATATGACGTTCCTACTAATATTTACATTAGCTTTTAAATCAACTTAAACTTACAATATATATTCAAATATTACATACTACCTTAGTAGCTTAATGGCATCGTGTTTGGTTGACGGAGACTTCTATGGTGAAGATCGTGGGTTCATTCCTGTGCAAGACATTTTTTGTTTACAGATTTTGCCTTTGCATGTTTCAGATGAAGACGTATTCGAGAACCGCCACCGTAATATCCAAATATAGGCGGAAAGTCAAATATTGTGACTACTTATTGCGTTATCTTCTATCTTCTTCACAAATAACCAATTTATAATGTTTATAGTATAATACTATACTATAAGATTCTAATATTATTTTACATTATTAAGTCATTTATTTCGAAATCAAATATATTTCGTTTACAAATTTGAAATGAAAAATTTCATTTAAAACTAAACTTACAGTGCTAAGTTAACGCCGTTTAGAATGTATCTTATTTAGAAACGTCATCTTAAACAGCTAATTTAAGTAGAATTGGCACCGAGAATCTTATTTTTGTAATATACAGAATCATTAAACCTAGATAGTTGACGAATATGTAAAATCTAATTATAATAATTTATCACGTAACTAGTGTATTTACAGTACTATATTACTTATGCTAAAATTACAAAGCGTTTAATATTCGGAACCACAGACAAAAGCTTTTTAATAGCAAGAAAACTTAATCGAACCGATTCCGCTAAAAGCTCTTAATATTTCGACAAACTTTTGTTATAAACTCATAAACATACGAGTATAATAAATAATTTCAAAATGTACACAAATGATAACATTCAATACAAAAAACGGTAGCTGTGAGATTAAAAATGATAATACGCAAAGTTAATCGGCTGACTCTCCTCAGAATCGTTAACATTTAAATCGTCACTATCACTAGCTTTCGTCTCGCGCACTTCGTACCTGTCCCGGGCATCGAATCTGTTGACTCTATGCCAGTTAGACAGATCGAAGGGCGTGTCGTTGGGATCCTTGTTTATATAGTCGTTATAATAATAGTATTCACTTTGTTTGGCACTGTCAATGTCTTTGTGGGGGTGCCCGTGACCCAAGGTTGGGGTGGCGCGGTGGGTCGGGTCTGGAGGAACCTCCGCGCTAGGGTCTGATCACTGACGGTGATGCGGCATGTGGAGGTGAAGAGCTTCGAGACGTGGTCTTTTGGCCTCATCATCATCACTACACTGATCTGCCTCGTGCGATTCCTGTTCATCACACTCTTCACCCAACTCCTCCTGTTTACGTTTCGCCGTTGCCATTTCTGCGGCGTGCTTTTTTCTCCATTTCGTTCGTCTGTTTTGGAACCAAACCTGAAAAGAAAATATAGGCTTAGAATATTTGTCTGAATTGTAATTGTAATGATTTTATTTTAAACATCATATTAATTAATATTTAAATTCCATTTTAATAAAAAAAAAATTATAGTTCAATGAACCTTTAACATTGCTACGTGGAGTATGTCATTATAGCCAGCGATGTCTTGAAAATATTAAAATTTAAATGAAAAAAAAAATATAAGAATCTCTAACTGCATGCCTTAACCTTTACATAATAATTTATCATTACTCTATTCCCTTTCTATTAGAAATAGTAATTATTAGAGTATCAGATTGGCTTAAGTTATTTTTTTTTACACTTGACCATGCCATGTTATGTAATATTAAATGACTTTTAATATGATTAAGTTAAAATACAAACAAATTAACAAAAAAATATCATATTTTTACTTTTGTATTCAGTCATGATATAATTTGTTAATGGGTGATTTTTATTGAATAAATAAATATTATTAAAATATCAGTTTTGAATGTTTTAGATATGAAACTTACACTCGATTAGCTTTATTTATCACTACATTGTATAAAACAAAGTCGCTTTCTCTGTCCCTATATCCCTATGTATGTTTAAATCTTTAAAACTACGCATCGGATTTTGATGCGGTTTTTTTTAATAGATAGAGTGATTCAAGAGGAAGGTTTTTGTTATATAATTTGTTAAGTTTTTATATACATTGATTAAAATATAACGATATTTGTTGGAGGTGTCGGAAAAAATAAGACGTCTGGGAGCTTTCAATGAAAACGCTGCCTAAACCCTATAACCTATGGTGGAATTGTGTATCTTATATAGGTCTACAGAAAACGCGATGGCATATGTCTATCTCTTAAGGATAACATACTATATCCATTTTAATTTAAAACGTACCTAGGGACGAACCCGAGCGAAGCGAGGGTGAGTCGCTAGTTTAAAATAAACCAGAAAATTTCTAGAACTCAGCTATAATTTGGCCAAAACTCAAACAAAAGGTGATTAGCGACACAAACCGACATTTTACATTTGGAAACGAGCCACTAAGCTCTATGTTTGTTTTCCTGAAAGCCAAATATAAAGACCGGGTCAACATTGCGCCATGTGAACCTAATCTGTACGACATCATAATGTCTCATTAAATACCGCCTTTCAAGTCGCAACGGTTACCCATAACGTCTCTTTCCTTCGCATAAAATCTTGCTAAGAGCGATAAAGACAGCGATAGTAGCCATGTTCTATGGTAATTAAGGGTCGTTTTGCAAATTACACGATACTTAACCAGCCATATAACAGTCATTAATCAACGAGATGGGGTGGCGGGCGTCTCGCTCCCACTTGTGGGCTTGGTGAGTGGCGTCTCTGTCCCGCAGGTTTCAGTGCTTCGGTGGTAGACAGGAGTTTGATTAGGTCATAAATACATTTTCATTATTAGAGCCCGCTCGAGGTTGTCGATCCGATCTTTGGGCGATGGCTAAAACAGCTATACTTTGAATCAGATCGTAACGGTTTATGTTCTTTGTTATTTGCCACTTTATTTTTATTCGAGTCGTAATCTCGAGTGGTATTAAAATGAAAGCTATATCTTTCGTCTATGGCTTAATGAAGATGTCGGCGCACGTTGAGAGTAAGTTTTTGTTCTGTTTATTTAAATACCAATAAGTTTACGTATAAATATCGTATCGCGTCGTATAAAACCTATACATATAATAAAATTGTAACTAAGCCGAATCTGTACATTAAATATTTTTTGGAAAATCTAATTGAAATAGACATTATTATCGATGCAGAGGCGGAATCTATAGTTTTTAGAATTTTTGTCTGTCTGTCTGTCTGTTACCGCATCACGGAAAAACCACTGGAGGGATTTTGATAAAATTTAGTATGATGGTAGCTGGTTATCCGAGTCAATATATAGGATACTTTTTACCGCGGAATAATATCTCATTTAAGAGAAAAAGTACAAAAACTGCAGTGTAAGAGTATACCTATATGTAAAACCTAAGAATTTGGTTTTTGGTCATCTGAACGCGAGCGGAGCCGCGGACAATGCTAATTGTGAATAAAATAATATGTATACAATTTTTTTAACAAGTTAATTAATATGATCAGATAAATAAAAAATGAGCTTAAAAACCAATATATAAAGTACCAGTGAACTATTCACTTCGCTCAGGTGCGTCCCTGGATAACTAGCATTAGCCTATACTTCAGGCTATCTGTGTACAAAATTTCATCCAAATCCGTCCAGCCAATTCGTCATCATTCATTTGACGACACGTTTGGCTCAGTTTGCAGTGACCCTACTTGATGCCCCAACGGTCGCGGATTCGAGTCCCGCTGGAGGCATTCATTTGTGTGATGAGCACGAATGTTTGTACTCCAGTCATGGGTGTTTATATTTATAATATATATGTATTTAAAGTTATTTATGCATACTGTATCAACTATCTAGAATCCATAACACAGGCCTCGTAGCTTACCATGGAACTTGATGGTGCTGTGTGTTAATACCAACATATTTATTTATTATTATCATGAAGGAGTAACAAACATACACACTTTCGCATTAATAATGGTATTACGATTTGTCCAAATCTCAAGTCAAACACAAAAGAAGCAATTAGTATAGACATAATAATAAATTACTTAGTTATATTGAGTAATTTTAGTATTGAAATTCTCCCTCCCACATGTAGACAAGCTGTAAGCAGTTAACATCTTGTAGCGAGCACTTAACACGCCTAATCGACGCTTGGTGTTACAGCGATATTCGTGTATAATAATATAACTGATATAAATTGAATTTATTATACACAACAGCTTTTGGTACCAATTTAACCGATTATTGATCAATTTTAAAAAGGAGTTATTGCTTATTAGGTTTGTATGTTTGTTTGTGTGAAAGTTTCATGATATTTTCTAATGGAAAGGTTCTTCTACGATGGTCCAAATTTTTAAGATTGATTGTACTCTTATGTATGTGTTGTATTCAGCCTTTTTTAACGTCCCACTGCTGGGCACGGGCCTCCCTTCAATACGAGGGAGATCAGGCCATAGTCCACCACGCTGGCCACGTACGGGTTGGTGGACTTCACATGTCTTTCGAAAACTTGCTAAGTTCTCTCAGACATGCAGGTTTCCTCACGATGTTTTCCTTCACCGTTAAGACAAGTGGTAATCATGTTGAAAATGATTCGCACATGAAAATATCAGAAGTGCGAGACCCGGGATTTGAACTCGCTTCACTAGGTTTCCCAAGCGAGCGCGTTACCACTGGGCTACCACTGCCTTAATACGTACTCTTATACAGGTACTTAATTACATTACAAAAAATATGTTAACTTAATAAGTAACTTTTATTAATATTCTTTATTGCATTAAACAAGTAATATTTTTTTTTTTTTTATTTATTCCAATATAGCAATATTATTCAAAGGCCATTGTGGCCCAATTTTAACGCGCTTGTTTAACATACTACCACTCGCCTTACAGAGGAAAACATCGTTAGGAAACCTGCTTATCTAAGAGAATATAAATAATTTTCGAAAGATGATGAAGTCCGCCAATCCACTCTTGGCCAACATGGTGGACTATAGCCTGATCCCCCACATTGAAGGGCTATGCCCAGCAATGGGACGTTGAGAATTGCCGAATATATTCAAAAATACGTAGGTATTATATAGCAAAAAGCTAAATCGCTACGATATTACAAGACACGGGGTATAATAAAAATGCATCATATCGCTGACTTAACAACGTTGCCATAAAGGGTTTAATAAACTGCGAGGTGGTGAGGATTTATGCTGATTCTCAGAATAATGAAGCAAGCTAATTAATGAAAAGGGCCTATTAAAATGTTATAAAGTATATTAGGTACATTCAATTTTATATGGTTTTATAAATAACTATAATATAGCGATTTGCCCCCGCTTCGCTCGGGTACGACCCTATGTTGCTTCCCCATACAAACTTTCATCCCCATTTTCAGCCCTTTAAGGGATGATTCCGGGATAAAAAGTATCCTATGTCCTTTTGAGAGTCTCAAAATATCTTCTTACCAAACTTCATCTAAATCGGTTCAGTAGTTTTGGAGCTTATTCGGTACAAACAAACAAACAAAATCTTTACTCTTTATAATATTAGTATAGACTAGGTTTAGCTCACGACTTCGCTAACGTGATAAGCGGGGCGGGGTTCAAAGATATATATTTGCTAAGTTTTGTCGCTAAGTTTTATCGAAATCTGTTCAGCAGTTTAAGCTTAAATGGTAACGCACAAAGTTCATATTTATAATATTATTATATTAGTATAGTATATTAGTATGGATAATTTATACAGGTTCAGTTCTCGTGTAAGGTACAATTTGTGTAGATAAATCAACAATTAATGTCTAAATGTACTCTATGACGCCATAAATTGGTGTTAAGTTTATAGTCTGAGCTTTTGACATAAGAATGTTACTTTATTATGAATATAATAATAATATAATTTAAACTAGAAATGTACCGTATGCTAATATTCAGGACTAGCATCTTATCTGACGTCTATCTGCAAGTAGAACTCCCTTTAAAATCGGTTCAACCGTTTCGGAGATTAGCCGGAACAAACAGACAGACAAACATTTAAAAAAATGTGTTTTTCTTTTAAGTAGGTACCTACCGTATTTAGTAAAATGCTGTAATATATTTTAACATTACAAACAAACACTTTAATAATATTTATCTGTATATTTATTTGTATAGATAAAACAGTATCTTTAATATATAAATTAATATTAGTATTGTGAGCTGTTATCACTGTTTTGAGAAGTAAATTATATATTAAACTACTAGCAGAACCCGTGGCTTCGCTCGCGCTAAAACTACAAAAATACTCAAAAAAGGTAGGTTTCATACAAATTTTCATCCGCTATTTTACCCCCTTATGAGATGAATTTCGAAAAATGCTAAAACACGTATTTATTTAATTGTATTGAAGAGTATTAATACCAAGTTTCAAGTAATTCTGATCATAAATATTTTTTTAGATTGTATATTATAAATTATTTACCCATGGGAATGAGATAATCTCCCGAGGTAAAAAGTAGCCTATGTCACTCTCCAGCCCTCCAACTATCTCCACACAAAGAATCAAGCCAATCCGCCAGGCCATTTCGACGTAAAAGAAAGACAAACAAACAAACAAACAAACACGCTTTCACATTTATAATATTAGTATGGATATTCATTAGTTATAGACGGTTCAAACCGTGTTACTTGCGAAGATATAAAATCTATGAGAATACAACTTCTTTAGAGTAGTATATTTATTTAGTTTTATTATTTGAAGGCATATAATAAAATTACTTCATTAGAGTCTCGAGGAAAACGCTGTTCTATGGAAGAGTGAACAGAAGTAATATATATCAGCATTGATCATTGGTTCCGCGCGACTGCGATCGCTCGAATAAAACTAACGCACAACATGGCGGTAATAAAAAAGCGTACGAACAAAACAAGATTTAGTACGAATACCTTGTATTTGGGCCATTTTCTTTCATAGGGTGTGTGCACACTATGGCTTCTTGTACCTAGTAATTGGATGTAGCCGATATTAGGTCACTAATCAAAATTATATCAATACTAGCAGAACTCGCGGGTAAAACTACAAAAAAAAAACTCTAAAAAGGTAGGTTTCATACAAACTTTCATCCCATATTTTACCCTCTTAAGGTATGAATTTCGAAAAATGCTAAAACACTTATTTATTTATTTCTATTATAGAGCATTAATACCAAGTTTCAAGTAATTCTGATCCTAAATATTTTTTTGGGTTGTATTATAACGTATTTTCCCGTGAGAATGAGATAATTTCCCACATTAAATGTCTATGTCAGTCTCCAGCCCTCCAACTATCTCCATACAAAAAATCACGCCAATCCGTCACTCTGTTCCGACGTGAAAGAAGGACAAACAAACAAACAAACAAACAAACAAACAAACAAACAAACAAACAAATACACTTTCACATTTATAATATTAAAAAAGTATGGATATAGATGTTCAAATGAATACCTAATGTATTGTCTAAACACTAGATTTTCTAAAAATGAAATATTATCTTTATTACACTATGACTAAAATCTGAAAACTTAAATTTTAGCACGATTTAAACTTTATTAAAAAAAAAGTATACAATAATATTTTTCTACTGACCCGTATTTAGATCTGATAAATATGTTAAATATGTTGGGACATGTTCCATGGTAAGCTACGAGGCTTATGTTATGGATACCAGATAGTTGATACACTACACATATATAACTTTTAAATACATACATATTATAAACATAATCACTCATGACTGGAGTACAAACATTCGTGCTCATCACACAAATGAATGCCCCCAGCGGGACTCGAACCCGCGACCGCTGGTGCATCAAGTAGGGTCACTACAAACTGAGCCAAACGTGTCATCAAATCTTAAAATTAATTAAATTTTTAGATATTAAAAAGACGGGTAAAGTTGAAAGAAACGGCATATATTATTAGGTTTTTACTTAAGATCTTCCCACAGCCGACTGCGACAATTTACCCGAGAGTGTGCACATTCTCGTAGATTATCATTGCTCCATTTACTTTTACGACAGACGGATACACGCGGGGACATGCCTTGTGTTTCACTTTTACATTGAATACCGTATTTATGTCCTTTGCACAACTTCATATTTACTATTGTTTAGTAAAAAAATAAGGCAAAAACAAAATTAGATACATAATATATACGATATAAATTATACGTTTTGCTCATATTCTTGTTGTATATGTGTTTTATTTCTCACCAGTTTTTATTGTTGCTAGTAACAATCTTTTTAAGCTAAGAACCATCCATCTGACGCTATAAGTACACAAAAAATAATTAAAATTGGTCAAGCTGTTTAGGAGGATAAATATTACGAACACACACACAATTTTATCTATACATATGATAAAATTCTAACGAAGCCGAATCTGTACATTAAATATTTTTTGGAAAATCTTATTGACATACACTCTGCTATCGAGGAATCTATAGTTTTTAGAATGTATGTCTGTCTGTTACCGCATCACAGAAAAACTACTGGAAGGATTTTGATAAAATTTGGTATGGTCATAGTTGGTTATCTGGGTCAATATGTAGGATACTTTTTACAGCGAGAAACTATCTCATTTTTGAGAAAAAATACAAAAACTGCAATGTAAGAGTATACTGATATGTAAAACCTAAGAATTTGGTTTTTGGTCATCTGAACGCGGGCGGAGCCGCGGGCAATGCTAGTATAAAGTAAAGCATATAATTCATATGCCCCTACATCATTTACATTACATAATTAGGTAGTCTTTATTCTATATACACAAGGCACCTAAAGTAATATGGAGTGTGGAAATTAACATAATTACACCTTTTTTAGTGGTTATATCGGGATAATAGCAATTAAAACATACACATTTTTGTACTTTGCATTCATTTTTCTTTTTAATTAAGTTTAATTACACGTTTTATTCGTTAGGGTGATTTTAATAGCAATAAAATTAAGGTGAGCATGAAGAAATATATATTTATCTTAATAGCACGTAGTATCTATGTCAGATATTGCGTCATTCAAATGAAATTAACAGTTCTGATATTAGTATACTCTTACATTGCAGTTTTTGTATTTTTTCTCAGAAATGAGATATTTTTACGCGGTAAAAAGTATCCTATATGTTGACCCGGATAACCAGCTATCACCATACCAAATTTCATCAAAATCCCTCCAGTGGTTTTTCTGTATTAACAGACAGACAGACAAACAATCTAAAAAATATAGATTCGGCCTCTGTATCGATAATACTTGTAATGTTTATTTCAATAAGATTTTCCAAAAACTATTTAATGTACAGATTCGGCTTAGTTACAATTTTATTATATGTATAGATAACTAGCGACTCAGCCTCTCGAGCGCTCCGCTTGGGTTCATCCCTAGTTACGTTTTAATATTTAGTATAGAATTCTTAGAGATGAGATATTTTCCCGCAGTAAAAAGTATCCTATATGTTGACTCGGATAACCAGCTATCATCATACTAAATTTCATCAAAATCAGTCCAGTGGTTTTCTCGTGATGTTCCCAGACATACCTACAGACATAAATTTTAAAAACTATTCGGCTTCTGTATCGATATAAATGACAATAAGATTTTCCAAAAAAATATTTAATGTACAGATTCGACTGAGTTAGAATTTTATTATATATATAGATTTAAAAATAATATCATCTATACTAATATATAGCTGTATAAAGCTTAAGTGTTTGTTTGTTCTTTTTGCATTTTACGATCTATATTTTGTAGAAAGTTACAGGCGTACCATCTCGACTAAGAGTATAGCTCTTAGATTCGGAGCAATTATAAATACATACTTACATAATATCTGATCTGTAGGCAAAAGCTTGTTAATTAGGTATTAAAGTTATTGGACTTTTGATCTGTGTGTGTAAAGCTACATGTAGGTAATATTATATTATGTTAATGATATATTTAGTACTACCTATTGTACGCTACTGTCTGTCTGAACGCGATAAACTCAAAAACTACCGAACGGATCTTCATACGGTTTTCACCAATAGACCGGGTGATTCATGACGAGGTTTAGGTAAATAATTAATTAAAGTTTTATGGAAATTGCCTGAAATATTTGACCAATCCAATCGTCATATGACGATGAGGGTTGAATATGTCAGAAAAAACCTTGCCGGCCAATAGGCATGCGTCCCGTAACAAACAATGTAATCATTTCATATTATATTATATATTTTTTCGCTTAAAAAGATCTATTAAACTAAAGTTATTCACTAGTTGGTAATAAAAGACATTTTTAATTACGGACAGAGCAAACAAGAAAATTTGTAGGAATATAATTTGCATTAGCCATTTGTTTATGATACACGCACGGCTTGCGAGTCGTCAATCAAATTATTTAACTTTCTCATTCCAAAAATTAACCAAACAATCCATTCGTTCTCTTTTATTATAAAACATTCAAATGACAAAATATTTACATTTCAATGTCGCTAGCACAATTACGGTCTTTATAGAAAACCGGTGGCAAATAATAGAGAGGGGCAAAGTGGTATCGACGCCATCACTGTCGGCCTGCCGTGCCATCAAACAAACTGACGATATGTTATTATATTTATGCGCAAACTAAACAAGTCTTCGAGAATATTATTACATTTATTATACTTTATTCCCCGACTCACCCAACCCCTGTGTTCAATTACTTAAGTGCTAAAAGACGAACCGCGAGACGTATAACCGTCCTTTTCTGTCGTCATAATAAAATTATTGCCGTTTCATTCTCGCGAGGAGGGTCGGGGTAATTATATGATATTATTTTTCTCTGTAATAACGATAGGTAACTTTCAATAATGCCTCAGCGGCCATGTTTTTGTAGTCATTATTTTGAATGAGACGCTGAATGTTTGTTTTGTTGATTTGAATACGTTGTAATGTTAAAGAGTTATTGGAAATATTGGTTCTTTATAGGTAATCAAATGATGATGAGCATTTTAACACACACAGTGTTTTGATCGAATCCAAGTAAAATTGCAATTAAACTACTTATAGTTCTAAGTATTAATCATAGAAAAGGTTAGAAAATGTCATAGAAAAGGTAAGAAAGAATAAATTTTCTAAATTCTGTTTGTGATTTCCCCGTTTTTTTTTTAATTATATACTTTAATTTTTAAGCTTAATAAGCTAACATATACCTACCTTAAGAATGTGAACAGTGAAGACTTAATTGGTGTATGTATTTTTTTTATTTCTTTTTTTTATAAATGTAACATAATACTGTTGGTCTTCCAAATACATAAATATATATATATATATATATATATATATATATATATATATATATATATATATATCTTTATATATATAATTCTTCTGTGAGTGTGTATGTCACTGAACTTCTCTTAAACGACTGGACCGATTTTGATGAAATTTTTTGTGTGTGTTCAAGGGGATCTGGGAATGGTTTAGATTCACAATTTGAATAATAATTTTCATCAAAAAAAATATTAAAAAAAGTTTGAAATTTTCAAATTAAAGACGTGTAGACAGGACAACGTCTGTCGGGTCCGCTAGTATATATATATATATATATATATATATATATATATATATATATATATATATATATATCTTCTTTTATTCTTCTATTACTTCATAGAAAAGTGATGCTTAATTGATATTTAACTGGACACGATATATAAACAAAAATATGACGGGATCATAAAAGCAAACTATTACATCCATTATATACTCCATTCGATGTCCAAACAATAGATCGAGTCATCAATCAAAAAGCCGCCATTTTGTGCCTAGCGAATAAAATGCAGCAGACTCGTGTATTTTTTTTTTATCCAACACCCATTAGTGAACGCCATCGATCAAAAACACAATTCCAATTTACCTATCGGCCACAAATTCTTCAAAACGACTGTTCAGAAATAAAGATAAAAAGTAAATTGAGTGCGCGTGGCGCGGTTTTTTAATCTGTATTTTGTGGGGACGTCTATAATCTATATTCACGTATAATCTGTAATTGTTTTTATCTCGAGTAAGTTATGTAGATAAAAAAATATTTCATATTGCTTATCTCGATACAAGATAGCTGAATGGTCCATTTCAAAAATGTATTATTTTTTTTTACAATTGTTTTACTATTTTTAAATTTTTTTCATTAATATGCCTACTACCCATTTAGCTATATCTATACATATAATAAAATTCTAACTAAGTCGAATCTGTACATTAAATATTTTTTTGGAAAATCTTATTGAAATAAACATTATTGTCGATACAGAGTCCGAATCTATAATTTTTAGAATTGTTGTTTGTCTGTCTGTCTGTCTGTTACCGCATCACGAGAAAACCACGGAACAGATTTTGATGAAATTTGATATGATGATGGCTGGTTATCCAGGTCAACATATGGGATACTTTTTACCACGGGAAAATATCTCATTTCTGAGAGAATTTTGTTATTGGTCACCTGAACGCGGGCGGAGCCGCGGGCAATGCTAGTTTATTATAATAACACTATATATAGGTAACAAAAAATCTTTTAGTACTTTAAATAATCTATTTACTTAACTAAACAAAGATCTAACAATCATCCTTATTTTTTACTTAGAATCGAGTAAGTGGGTTGTTCTTTAGGTATATTTACTTGAAACAAACATCGTTGAAAATATTAATTATAGGTAACATTGCCAAAAATCGTGATAATATTATGATTATTGCCATACCTATTGTTTATTTCATTAAGAATCATCATTTAGAATTACTTAAAAATGATTCACATAATTAATAGTAAATATTTTTACATTAGATAGACTGAAACAAATCTTTATATATATAATTCTTCTGTAAGTGTGTATGTCACTGAACTTCTTTCAAACGACAGGACCGATTTTGATGAAATTTTTTGTGTGTGTTCAAGGGGATCTGGGAATGGTTTAGATTCACAATTTGAATAATAATTTTCATCAAAAAAAATATTAAAAAATGTTTGAAATTTTCAAATTAAAGACGTGTAGACAGGACAACGTCTGTCGGGTCCGCTAGTATATATATATAGGTAGATGTGTTTTATGCATACTTTTTATTAATTTATCATAGATGCTAGGTACCTCTATTG